CTGGTGTTGGGTCCCCCCATTTGCACAGCCAGGAAACACACATCTTCCTCACTTGCATCCAAAGTCAGTAAACAGTCCATGAGCTTGGTTTTGTTGTTTTATTAGGGGTTAAACAACTGGGATGGAGTCTAGGGGTATATGGGATGCCCAATGGTAAACAACCTGGAGGACAAGTGTCCTATGTACAAAAAGCAGAAAAATTCGATCCTGGACTTTCTACTCCCTCTGAAGTGGTTCTTGTCTCTTAATGGATCAGTACACAGTCCTTCTTATGAGCATTCAGTCCCTTTAAGTGAATCTTCTTCAGACCCCAGATGGAAATCTCCTCATATACCTGGCTGTAATGAAGAGTATCCCAGGGCAAGGGATTTTAAGACACATAAGAATGCTGTCAAAGTGAGAAGTAGTTGGGTATGGCACCCTCTCCCTTGTAGGCCTGGGGATGTAAAGGTACTCACAATGTCCTGTTCCTATACCTTTAAAAGGTGAAGCTGCTTTCAGGCCTTAAACTAGGCTGGCTTCTTCCCTTGCTGACAGGCTGCCCTTCCCCGACAGACTGTGGAACAGTGTAGGTCCCTCTTTCCAGTTCCCAGCCTGTAGACAGACCTCCCTTTACTGAGCCTGCTCCCAGGCTCCAAATCAGTAGCACTTTTTCACTCCATCTTCCACCAGACACCCCTTGCTGGCAAGGCTCTGCCAAATTTATGGGATGATCTCCCACACTGCCAGGCCTCCTGCCTGGGATTGGTCAGACTCCCATAAATATGCAGATCAGCCTCTCCTCACCTCCACCCACTGGCTTCTAGAAACCTCTCCACGTTTCTAGAGCAAGGGAAGGTAGCAGAGTACTCACCTGTAGAGCTCTCCTAGCCTAAAGTAAGCTTGCTGACTCACACCCAGGCTTCTAGCAAGCCTCTAATTATACAAAAAAAACTACTTGCACTAGAGCGCGTTACATTGGCATTTTGTCTAAGATCAAGTATATTACCTGTTCTTACCAGTTTTTAGGAGCAGAACACTGGCGTCATCCTAACTCTGGTTAGCAATTCCTGGTGTAATAAGATGGTTACTGGGAGAAGGATCCTTTCCACCTAGATTGAATCTGGACTAGTTTGTTAGGCTTATCCCTGGAGGTAGGCGGTCCCTCCCTTAGTAATGCCTTTCTAGTAGGAATGGGGCTGCATTTTTCTTGACAGGGACTGGAAACTGCAAGGAGCTGCTGGTGATGTGCCTCCGGGGCGGGGATTCCAGGGGTGCAAAAAAAAAATGTATGGTTTTGGGACCCCACTGAGTTTCACTTGCACTTTGTTACATCTCTTTTGCTTCCTTGCACACATCTCTTGGGCAGGTCATTTGGCTGGTTCAGAGCAATTTTTTATACCAGATAGAGGGTCTGCCCTGTGTACTTCACATGGCACCTTCCTTTTTTTATTTATTACGGGGACTTACACTGCACGTGTGGTTTATTTTTCTCATCTCAGAGACAGAAGGTGCAGGTTTTTTGGGGACTACCATGTTGGGGAATCTGTGGCTTTTGGACCTTTTTCCTTTCCCCAACTGGGGATCTAGCTTTGGAAGAGCCCTCACCAAATACCTGGAGCACCAGCTTCTGCAAGTCCCTATGGAGCAGGGTCCACCTAGATTTGGTCTAGGTGAGCCAAGAACACATTGCCCCTGGCAGCAGGGGGTGGGTTCAGGGATGCAAGCTTTTCCTCTTTGGAGGATGGACCTATTCTGCACCCTCTTGCACTTTTTTTTGTGCGCTATGATTTCACGGTTAATTTTTTTTGTTCACAGGGATTTGACAAGCACCGCACTGTGGAGCTCTGTAAAATGAAAAAAAAAAACCCTCTGCAGTTTGTTCTTGTCTTCAGGATCAGGAAAAAAAACACTCTTCACTGTGTCTTTTACTTTAAAGTCCAAATCTAGGAATTGCAAAAACCTCTCCAGCTAGTGGGGCGCTCCCACACAAAAAGAGTTAAATTCTTGTTAACCATTTCAAGCCTTTAGGATGTACTCAGGGAGCGGGTAGTTATATCATGACCATGGCTGGTATGATCCTGGTATCAGTTTTTACATCTGGCGACTGTTTTATTGGTAAAAGTGATCCGAGCCGCTTTACAGCCCCCCAATGCCTGTCACTGCACAAGGGATGTTGTTCATCCTTTGTGATAGCAATAAAGTTATATTGGTTGTAAACCTCAGACATGAAATATGAACAAAGGATACTCCACTATAGTGTGTATTTGTCTCAGTGCAGAGCATTAAGCCATGGTTCACACCAGTGTGACTTCAGGTGCGACATATAATTTACAAATCGTACCTGAAGTCACATCTAATGTATTTCTATGCCACTGTCTTAATCAGAGAGATTTGAAGTAGCACAATTTCAAAAAGAATTCCTGCACTACTTTTATCCGATTTCATTGCGACTTGCATTGATTTCTGTTAAATGAAGTCACAAGCCTCAGTGAAATTGGAGGTACAAATTGCACTGATCTGTGACATTTGACATTTCTAAGTAGGATTCAGTGTGAACCAGGGCTAAGTGTCATTTCGTTCTGCTGCCTCATTCCTCTGCTATCAGCATGAATCACTTCTGATAAGTTTTCCTGACACCAGGAGAAAGATGATGACACGGGGAGAGATTTCCAACCGATTGACAGCCTCGGCCCTGTTATTGTGTGCTGTGCAAAGAAAAAAACCACATTTAGCTGTAATTGCTTGTTTGACCGCAGTGTGAGCTAAAGTTTGGCTTCAATGTGTTAGTGTATCTAAATCTGCTAGTACATCTAACACTCCCCTCCCCTTAGGACTGACAATTCTACTGTCCAAAGGTGCCCCCTGTGCTCCTTCATCCAGAGTGGCCTACAGGAGGTGTGTTAGAGGCCAGATCACCAGGTGAAAACAGAGGGAAAAAGCCTAAAAAAAGAAAATGAATGCATCCACCACTTCTAATTAATGGTAAGCTAAGATATATTACATTTTTTTTTTTGGGGTTTAATAATATCAATATATGTATTATTCGCATAACTTTACCAAAATGCATTAAGAGGGATTTACTAAAGCTGGCCATACACGTGTATTTGGAAGAAAAGTCGCACAAAAATTATTTGAACAGTCGATGAATGGATCAATGATGTTCAAAAATTGACTTTTGCTTTTTTAAAGCATTTTTTTTGCCTCCTTCCCCCCCCCCCCCCCCTCCACTGCCATATTTGGCACCTTTTGGGGGGGGAGGGGGCAGCGGATAACTGTTTTTGGCAGGTACCTGCTCCCACTTCCAACTCAGTTCACCACAGCGAAGGAACCGGAAGTTTGGCCCCCTCCTTCCTCCCGCAATCTCCTGGGAACCTTAACAGGTTCCAGAAGACTGCTGGACCAATCAGGAGGTGCAGCAGACTCACACATGGGCAGTGGGCACCACGCTGTAAAGCCACAAGTTGTCACAGCCTGGTACCCACAGTTGTGATGCTGGCGCCAGGGAAAGATGAGGCAGAGAAGGGACGGCGCGGGTGAGTACATCACTAGACCCTGGGACAGGTAAGTGTGTGTTTATTAAAAGTCAGCAGCTACAGTTTTTGTAGCTGCTGACTTTTAAAGCGGAGTTCCACCCAAAAGGGGAAGTTCCGCTTTAAGCCTTTGTCCCCCGCTCCCCATTAAGGATTGGCACCATTGGGGAGCAGGTACCTGAATTTGACAGGTACCCGCTCCCACTTCTGCTGCGATCTCCTAGGCCAGTGGTCGGCAAGCCGCGGCTCGCGAGCCACATGCGGCTCTTTACAAACTTAAATGCGGCTCTTCTGTGTGCCGGGCGCCCGCTCCCCCCCTCCTCTCGGGCGGCCGCCCCAAATGTCAGGACTCTGCAGCTGTCAGGATGTAGGCGGGGCAGCCAGGATGTAGGCGGGGCAGCGTGATGAACTCCTCTCCTCTCACAGTCCGCCCTGAAGACCAGAACGGCGCGGGAACACGGCGAGAAGTACGCGCGGAGCAAAGGTAAGTGAATTGACACAATATGGGAATTACTATAGGGAGATGAATTACTATGGGGGATGAATTACTATATGGGGGATGAATTACTATATGGGGGAATTACTATATGAATTACTATGGGGATGTATTACTATAGGGGGGATGAATTACTATATGGGGGATGAATTACTATATGGGGGATGAATTACTATGGGGGATGAATTACTATATGGGGGGGAATTACTATATGGGGGATGTATTACTATAGGGGGGGAATTACTATATGGGGGATGTATTACTATAGGGGGGATGAATTACTATATGGGGGATGAATTACTATATTACTGAAGTTTTAACTGAAGAAGCAGGCGGCAGAAGCAGATTTGTTGCTGTGCACAGCTGATCCATATTATTATTTGTAGTTTGATGGAACTTTAGTATCTAAATTCATTGCTTCTCAGTAACTTTGCAACATAGTTTCCTAGCATTATACAGGAGGGCCTGGAATTGTCCTTGCGGTGTATAATGGTGACAATGTATCAGGAAATGGAAGTCTCTGCTCGGTGTCAGGATTCATGTGACAGTAAGGTCACTCACACTTCCCACCAGTCCTCCCAGTCTCAGCCAGTGGAAGAGCTGTGTGCGCGGCCTGGTGTTTCAATAAAGCTGTTACAAAGTGACCTTGAGTGGGTTCTCCTCCCTCCATCCGGGTTCGCTTTATAAAGAGCGTAGCGCGCTTGCGTAGTGTTCTCCGTTCAGTTCGACCTCTGGTGCCGGTAAGCACAGTGAGGCAGGTAGGCCCCGACATTTGGTTAATCCACCGCCATCCTTCCTCCCAGGATTCCCCCGGGTCCTCCCGTGGTGGGCAACGGTAGAGCCCCCCCTCAGTGTCCGGTTGTCGGATGATATTAGCCGGCAGTTGTATGTATTTCTCTGTGAGTCATTCTCCCCGTTCTCTCTCTCTCTCCGCAGAGGGGCTGAGCCGTGACCCGACTCCCCGCTTAAGGACACACACACCTCCCTCCATCATGTACGCCTGTGCGAAGTTCGTCTCTACCCCCTCTCTGGTGAGTACGGAGCTCCGGGCCTAGTCCGGCCCGTGTAGGTCAAAGTCAATGTCTTCCTGTGCAGAGGCCGCCCAGCGTCCTTCCGGCCTCCTATCATCAGAGGTGACCCGGGCCTGTCTATGGAGGATTGCAGACTGACTGCCAGTGACAACCGGCCTACTGCCGGGCTGTGACCTACAGGAGGCCCCGGCCAAGGACATGGCAGTGCAGGCTGCACTCCCCGGATGAATGGCCGGACAGTGATTGGCTGTGGTCACCATGTGAGCTCTACAGCTTCTCATATTTTATAGTCATGATTTGTGCCATCCCGAGGGTTCTGTCTGCCTGCTGCTGATGGCTGGGCTGTCGGCTCCCTTTGACATTGATGCAGTATAGGGCCTGCAGCACCCTGGGCATTGGCTGAGATCCTGATCAGGACACTGCATGGGGGATCCATTGTAATGCCATTCAGCACTGGGGTCCTTGTGTCACAACACTGCATGGAGGTGCATGAAACTGCCTTGCAGCACCAGAATCCTTGCTTTGTAATCCCTATTAGGACACTGCATGGACTTTTTATTATAGGGCCTTCCAGCACTGCAGTCAGCCATTTAAATCCTGGTTAGGACACTTGTCTGAATGGAATTTGCATTGTGCTCCCTTGCAGTACTACTGTTTTTTTTTTTTTTTTTTTTTTTTTTTTTTTAAATTTCCTATCAAATCTACTGTCTGCATGGGGTTTGCATTATAATGCCCTTCAGCAGCATTGTCATTTTGGCTTAAATCCCTGTCAGGACACTGCATGGCGTTTTTTTATGTTCTAGTGCTATGCAGAAGGGTCCTTGGTTTAAATTCCTATCTGGACAATGTCTGCATTACATTTGCATCAGTGCCTTGCAGCATTGGAGTTCTTGGTTTAAATCCCTGTCAGTGCACTACACTTGTCTGCATGGAGTTTGCATCATAGTGCCTTACAGCACTGGGGTCCTTGGTCTGGATTTTGGTTAGGGCACTGTCTGCATGGAGTCTGCATGTGTTCCCTCTGCTTTGTTTGGATTTCTTCCAGGTTTGCTAGTTTTTTTTTTTTTTTTTTTTTTTTCTCCACTCTATAGACATGCAGTAGGTTAACTGGCTCCTGCCCTAGTATGGCATGTTAAGACTTTTGAATGTAAGCTCCTTGAGGGCAGGGACTGATATGAATGGACTCTATGTAAAGCAGTGTAGATCTGTGCTATATAAATGCCTGTAATAAATGGAAGTTTTTTTTTTTATGTCTTTAGGTCCGTGCTGGGTCCAGGGCTCTGTATAGACCAATTTCTGCATCAGTTTTGTCTCGGCCAGAGGTCCGAACTGGAGAGGTAAACTGTCCAAATGTCTTTGTCCTTGAGTAACTTCTGGGTAGTCAGGTGTTCTGCGAGTACATAGATCAGGTCTTAAACTAGTATATACATCAGGTGTTGTACTCATACATATAGATCATTAGGTCTTGTACTAATACATCACAGTGCTTTGTGAACTGTCACACCCGAGTATAACCTGCAAAATGTGCTCACCCTGAATGAAACAGTAGCAATCCTGCTGGCCTTTGGCATTTCAGTAGCTTTCATAGTCGGTAACACTGACAATGTGGCCTTCAGTTATACTGTCGGCCTTTATTTGAAGGGCATTCTGTTACAGGTCATTGGGATAGTTCAAGGACATTTCAGCCTCTTATAATTCAAAGGCTCACCTATAGATTTTAGGAAATGTGATTGGTAGACTACATGTTCCTATGACACTGCATTACTTCATTTTTATGTACTTTTTTTTTTTTTCGTTCCTTTAGGGAAAAACACACTCAGTGGGACACAAAACCCATGCACCCAGCTGGTACTAAGGGCATTTCAGACCAGTGCAGTCAGCAGGGACATTGATACTGCTGCTAAATTCATTGGTGCTGGTGCTGCCACAGTTGGTGTGGCTGGCTCTGGTGCTGGTATTGGAACAGTTTTTGGAAGTCTCATTATTGGTTATGCCAGGTAAGTGTATTTGCTGTAAGTGCCTTGTTAGTATCACCATTTAGTATTAAGTTTGCTCTTGGTGGATTGTTATAGAACAAATCATTTCAGCTTAAGCTGCAGTTTAATGTGCTTAAAATTTATAATTCTGCAGGTACCCTGCTTTTAGTTGGGTTGCCTATAGAGCAGTTTTAAACGTAGTAGAAACTGCTTATATGCCAAATACCAAAAAAAAAATGTAAAACCGCTCCTAATGTAGATTACCCTAGCACTAATAAATTATGCAGCACTCATCACTTGGTCTTGGTGACACTATGGGAAACCTACAAAGGGCACATATGGCAACAAAACCAATTAGTCTTTATCTGTTCTCATTTACTAATGTGCTTTTAAACTAAATAAAAAGCTTGCCTTCTGTCCACATTTGTTTGAGTGTCTGAGTTAGATTTATTAAATGTTAAGCTGTTATGCATGGGATTTATTCATTGTGGCAAGCGTTGCTACGAAAAACTTTCAGAAACCTGTGTGGGTTTCAGTCCCAAATGTTTTTTCTGGTGCATACTAAATATGCACACTATGCATGTAGTGCACAGGTCATAAGTTTAATGTGAATGGGTTCTTTGTAGTGCTTTACTGAAATTGCTTGTTCAGTGTAAAATACCAAATTTAGTGTTTGTTTTTTTTTTTTTTTTTTTTTTAACAATTTTTCTACCTACCTGCTCCTGTGCAATGGCTTTGACCAGAGCAGCCGCGATCTCTTCCTTGGGTCCCTTGTTGAGATTCCTCCTCCCCTCCAAGTGCCCCATAGCAAGCCACTTGCTATGGGGGCACTCATACAGACTCGCTCCTGAGCCCTGCTCTGTCCATTCACACGCAGAGCATGGCCCATCTCCACCCCTGCTCACTGGCTGTGATTGATGGCAACAGGAGCCAATGGCTCCTGCTGCTGTATCTTACGTCAGTGAGTGAGACCTGGGAGAGCTGCTGCTGTGATGCACATCTCTGGATTGAGATGTGGCTCAGGTAAGTTATGGTGGGGAAAATCGTTGCAGAAGGTTTTTTACCTGAATGCATTAAGGTAGAAGCTTGAGACTTTAGAACCACTTTAAATTCTTTTTTTGGGGGGGGGGGGGGGGGGGCGGGATACACTCTAATGAATTATTGCAAGTAAATGGATACCCAACATGTCAAGTTGTACATGCTTGTGGAATGGTGCCAAACTACAGTACTTACCAGAATCTCCATGGGTGATGCTTTAAAAAAAATTTACAGGCTACCAGTAGACATTCAGTGATACCGCACATGTGGTTTGAGCACCATGTACATATGTGGGCATGGCCTACGTATATGTTCACCACTGCACAGGGGCACTTAAAACTTTAATTACACTTTTTTTACACTGTTGCTTACATTTTTTTTTTTTCTTTTTAGCACTTTTTCCTGTCGCAAGGAATGTAAAAATCCCTTGTGATAGAAATAAACAGTGACAGGCAGGCCCACCTTACAGAGATTTGGGGTTATTAAGACCCCCCATCTCTAAAATCTACAGCATTAGATCAAAAAAGCATTTAGTGATTTGAGAAAAAAATGACCTTGTTTACATGGTGCCGGAAGTGATGTAATGACGTTGGTCTGGTCCTCCAAGGGCATAGAGATGAGTGGAGGCCATATTTCCGTCACTGTCTATGCCCAGCACTGGGATTGTTGGATGGGTTCTCGGGTAAGACTGAACCACCGGGCAGCAACTCTGAGGGGCAGCAGGGGTGGGGCTACTCTGCGCCTGTATCTGTTCCCATTTTCATATCTGTCAAAGGCCGTCGGGTATTTTCAGCTGCCAACATTTTTGGTGCATCCCTATCAGGACTTCGTGTACTGGTGGAATTTTCTGGCCTGAAGTCAAAGGAACATACCTCCAGCAAGTGACTCAAGCAATGGGGAAATGCTAACATGTCAAATCTTGCAGCTTGCACTTTCAGTGTTTTTTTTTTTTTTTTTTTGTTTTTTTTATCTTCAACTTTATGAACCAAAAGTTCCAAGTGTTTGTGCACCATGGTCCTATTTCTTACAATGTATGGGCTATACCCTGCATGACCGGAAGCCACCTTGACCACAGCTTGCCTTTAGAAAGAAGTGGGGCCATGGAATATGCATGACCAGGCCAGGATGAATGTTCTTTGCAGAGACTGTAGCACCAAGCAGAGCTGCACAGCAAACACTGAGATGGAGAGGAAGGCAAGGAGCTTACAGGTGGGCTGCATTCAGAAGTAAGGAATTTTGAATAGGCAATTGTTACTATACTAAATTTCTTAGCTTTACAGGTTTATTTTAAAGGGTGATTCAGGTTTTTAAGCGGTTATCAGATAAATGCCACATTTGCAAATATAAATTGCCAGTCAGGCAAAGTTTTACCTTTTTTTAAAATGCACTTTTGATGTGCATATGTCTGAAGCCTTCAGACACTTCATCTTTCAAACTGACAGCCAGCATGGACGTACAGGCAATAACACTGAACTGAGGCACTCCTCCGTACCCTTGTAGTTCATTGAAAACTACTTGTCTGCCACGGTAGTGGATGGGACTTGGGTTATTCAGATTGCTATGAATGACTGGGCAGAACACAACCATGCCAGTTTTAAAAATGACAGTAGCTGTAAGGATGTATCAGTTTAAGAACCTTGGGTGGAAGTGCACACTAGTCCCTTCATGCAACCCACTAAATCTGAGCAACAAGTACCTAAACTGCATATTGTATTACTTTTTTGGAAAATGATCTGTCTGATACCGTAAGGTATTTGCACAAAATATTTGGAGATTTTGTATGTGTTTAGGAGAAGTCCTGTCTGTGCCCAAATGCCAGGCTATTCTGAACAGGCAAAAATTTCTGGGAGGTACCAGTGTTTGCCATCTTCATGCCCCCAACACTTTCCTGTTGGCTCATGAGCTGTGGGGGAAATGGCCAGGCTTGGGTCTCCAGCAAGTTCTATATCTTTGCCCAGGCAGTATGGACTCTGACATGGAAAGGGGGAGTAGGTGCATCAGTCAGCTTTGATTGTTTTGGCGGTCATATCAATGGCCTGCACAAGCGGATAACTGGCATTTGTAGGTGAGGGAGTTTTTTTTTGGTTTTTTTGTGTAAAGGCTTTCTACAAGGTGCCAGTTATTTGTACTTAAATTCTTCAGCCGTATGTGCCTCTGTCAACCTTGTTCACCTGCTAGGGTCCAGTCTAATTCCTGTGCTTTCCTCCCCTCCCCCATTTACTAGTCTCGGCCTGATTTTTTTAGCTGCTAAGAACCAGTCTTTGGCCTGAATGGGCCAAGTGACAGGCAATTTTCAGGGGTAAAAGTCCACAATGTAGAAAACCTTTTACACCTATACTGTATAAAACCCTCCTTGTTAATCTACAGCTGCAACATGCCAGCTTTGCTGTTGTCATGGCTTTTGAAAGGTGTAAGGCTGCCCATTATAGCACCTGCTGTGATCTAAAGATGTAGGTCATGCTTCAGGCTCAAAATGAATGTGAGCTTTATAATAGAATAAAGGACAAACTCATCTCATTTGGGTTTTTTCATGTTTATGTTCTAATAGCAGTTTTGTTTTCCTCCTTTTTTAGAAATCCTTCCTTGAAGCAGCAGTTGTTCTCATACGCCATCCTGGGATTTGCCCTGTCTGAAGCTATGGGTCTGTTTTGTTTGATGGTTGCTTTCCTGATCTTATTCGCCATGTAAATGGTGCTGGGAATGTCGACATTCAGTGAACGGCTGTAAACATTTTACTGTGGCACCCAAGAAATGTTGTGTTGTCAAGAAAGTGTACCATATTTCCAAAGTTTTCATTAAAAATGGTAAAACTTAGATACAGAAGTTTGTACTGTTTTTATGTGCCTTCTTCAGTCACTGTATGCTGTAATCTAGAAATATATAAATAACTGAAGAGCCACCTGGGTATTCAAAGCACTAATTTTAAAAATGTACCCTGCCACTTTGCAAAAATCCATTAAAATATCCAGATGGTTACATATATTCTGTGCTGTAAATAAATTGTCTTCCTTTTCTGTGGTTCTTTTTCCTAATCTAATTGCATACATACTGTGCTACAGGCCTTGGACCACAATTTGCAAAATCCAAGACAGCATGTGAGTGCTTCTCCTACCAGGAAAAGGACATGCATTATCAAACTTTTAAAAGGAATGATATTTACAGAACTGGTCTGTTTGGTTTTTCCCTCCCATACAGAGACTGTGCATCATTTTGAACCTGGCTGAAGGTTTAGTAAGTGTTATCTGCACTCCACCCACTTCCTTTGGCTGTGATTACAGCACTGTCTAGGGATGTGCCAGGTGGAGCTCTGAACAGCAGAGTCTGGTGCCATTTACAGGTGGGATGTTGCTTCCTTGGTTCTGCATGTCTTGATTATGAAGCTGCTCAGGTGGAGGGAGAGTTGGTGGAGAGTGCTCCAGCCTTCAGACATTCATCCCAACTGGTGGCATGGATGTTAAAGGATTTTTTTTTTTTTTTTTTTTTTTTGCGGCTCTTCTGTGCTGCTTCCACTTGAAGTGTTTCAGGGGCAGACAGTAATTCTGGTGATGGGGGGCCTCTGGTACTAGTGAAATGCAATATCTGGAGATGTGACTTGTCTCACTACTACCTGGTTATGCAATAGTCTCTTGCTGCATTTTACTCAGTTCTTTGGGGCTTGTTGGTGACAGGGTCTTATTTGTGGGCTTCAGGTATGCTGGCAGTTCACAAGGCATTCATATATAGGAATGATAAACAAATGAGGGTTTATATAGTCTGTAGCTTTGACAGTTCTTTATACCTGCATAATGGAAAGTCTTGACACTGGAGAGCCTTTCTTCCCTCTACTAACATTGGTACTTGGAAAGGGAAAACCAGGTTGCTTTCGGCAACCAACTTGGATCTTATTGGGGTGCTAACTATTTGTGTAATTGTGACAAATCTCCAGCAGCAGGATGGCTAAAAATGCTGCCATTGTCCCTATAGAATTGCTCCCTCTGTGTAGTCTCATTTAGTGACATGGTGCTGTTAGTCAAAATACTGCTGAATATCAGTGGTCAACAGTGGGAGTGAGATCTCACTGCCTCAGCTACAGAGGGATCTATTCAACAGGGCAAAACAGGTAGCCTCTTGGTAGTCCTGCAGCTGTCTATTTTGACAAGATAGCTGATTGCAGCAGGATTGCTAGTAGCAAAGTTGCTTGTCATTTTGAATCTTTGACAGGTTTTACTAATTTTCTGTAAACCTGCAAATTGAGAGCCAGCAAGAGGACTAGTCATGATGCAACCTACACGGAGAGGAGAGCCACGGATTTAAAATATCAACCTGTGATGCAGCTTTCTATTATGTCTGCAGGGATGACTGTACAGGCTAGATAGCTTCTGATTGGTTAGTGCTGTCCATGTGACTGCTGAAAGCCTCTCTAGCCTGAGCTGTCATCGCTCAAAGATTCACAGGGTTTTCAAATCCCCATGGTTTTTCCTCTCTTGTAGCTGAAAATCCAGAATATCTGCCACCAAGGTATACATCCCAACATGCCCTTTCTGATTAACATTGGGATATGTGCAGGGAGGTTTCTCACACCACTCCTGTGTGAACTCAGGCTATGACAAACCTGGGTTCACAGGAGCAGTGGGGGAAATGCATGTGAATTGGACACATTTACATTCCTGTTCAAATTGCATGTTCTGTGGTGCAATTTGCATCCATTCATCTTGTATGAATGCAGAGTATCAGTGAGTACTTGACCAAAAATATCAGTACTCGCCAATTGAAAAGATTAGTGCCCCTACTCATAACATTTTGTAAAGTAAACAAAACTGCATGCCTAAGGAGTAAGCTTTTGTTTTAGGGAGAGGTGTGGTGTTTTTTCCCCCTCTGTAGTGCTCCATTGTACATCTGTTTTTTTATCAACAATTTTAGTTGCTAGAATGTTCATTTTTTTTTTTTTATAACATGAATGTAAAGGAAGTGACCAGCAAGCAGAGCAAAATATGCTCGTCACTAAAATTTACTATGGCATATGCTCTTGTATTCTGTTTTTGTTTAGGGCTAACAGGAATTGAGTATCTTATCCCCAAAATGATTGCAATTGTCTGTCCAGTACCTGTGGTGCAGTGCAAAACTTTCTTAAAGTGGCTCTAAAGACTGGAGGTTTTTACCTTCTCTGCATGAAGGTAAATAAACCTGTATACCAGCCCCCTCTCAATCCTGCAATGTCCACTAGAGCCTTGGCCCTGATTGGCTAAGGCAGCAGTGGGAGCCATTGGATCCTGCTGCTGTCAGTCATGGCTGGTGAGCCAATTGGGAGGAGGCAGGGCAAAGCCACAGCTCTGAATGGACATGCAAAGCTGCAGCAGTAGGGAGGGGCTAGGAGCACTAGTGGGGGGGATTGGAGAAGAGGATCAGGGCTGCTCTGTGCAAAACCACTGCACAGAGCAGGGTAATTATGATTATTTTCAAAACAAACAAGTTATCACTTTAATATGCAAAGGACTGAGCTGGAAGAAACTAAAGTCAGCCAGAGTTCAGATTGTTGTTTAGCTAGCTTAATGGAAAAACTGACCCAATTTTAAATGTGGGCATCTTTGCTTTGTCATTGTACTGACAGCAGAGGAGTCAGCTGTTTCCCAGATCAGTCCTGCATACTGGACAAGATAGGGGAGTTTCATGGGGCCAGATATGGCTTCTGGCTCAGCTGTGCACCCCAGCATGGTGCCCAAGACAGGTGGATCTTGTTTCTGGCTTTTAGCACTGAGTATGCTATGCACTGGGGTAGACCAGACCATCCACTAATGTTTAAAGTGGTACTTTAGTTAGAAAATTAGTCCTGCTAGACCACTTTAGGTTGGTAATTTTTTTTGCAGGTATAACTATGTAAAATGGTAAAAGTGCCTTACTATTTAAAATCCAGTAATACTCTCACCTTGCTTTGCATGTGCTCAGTTATGCTTCATTTTTTATTTTTAGGCTCTGAGATTGTAGAGGCTGATCTGCTGACAGTCTGAAGATTAAAATGGAACTAAACCCAGCAGTTTCCAAAAGTTGCATTCCTAGCATGCAAGGAATGCTAATGCTCACTTGCTTGTGTTCTCAACTGTCATTTATTGAGCACCATGTCAATTGCAGTTCAAATAGATGCAGCTTCCTTGGCTGAAAAGGATAGGATGGTTTAGTTCTGCTTTAAAGCTGGCCATACATCTGTAGCTTTTCAGATGAGACTATTTGTACAAATATCATACAAAAATTCTTTGAACATTTTGGTGAATAGACAAATGGTCAAAAATATGTCTTGTGTTAACATTTGAGTTTAAAGGAATGCAACTTCTGAACAATAACCAGATATACTGGCTGAAAATTTGAGACATTTTCCTTCCTGGCTCTTCAAATCTTCGCATCACTATGATTTGAAAACAAACATCAATTTCACCCCACTAACTATTAGAAAATTCAAACTAATAGTCTTGAATTGAAAATTCTCAAACTAAAATCTGTGTAGTGCCAGCTTAACCACTTGCCTACCAGGCACTTATACCCCCTTCCTTACCAGGCCAATTTTCAGCTTTCAGTGATGCCGCACTTTGACAATTGCATGGTCATGCAACATTGTACCCATATGAAATTTTGATCATTTTTTTTCTCACAAATAGAGCTTTCTTTTGGTGGTATTTAATCGCCACTGGGCGCTTTACTTTTTGCGCTATAAATAAAAAAAAGTGCAAAAAATTTGAAAAAAAAAAGTTTATTTGTTTCTTTTATAAAATTTTTCAAACAGGTATTTTTTCTCTTTCACTGATGTGCGTTGATGAGGCAGCACTGATAGGCAGCACTAAAGGGCACTGATAGGCAGTACTAATGAGGTGGCACTGATAGCACTAATTAGGGGTCACGGATATGCAGCACTGATTATGGGTACTGATAGATGGCACTGACTGGCATCACTGCTGGGCACTGACTGGTGGCACTGACTGGCACAACCCCTGGGCACTGACTGCACTGGTGGGTGGGCACAGGTGGGTGGCACTTCTGGGCACAGGTGGGTGCACTGCTGGGCACAGGTGGGCGGAGCTAGTGGGCACACTGCTGGGCGGAACTTGCGGGTGTCACTGCTGGGCACTGATCATCGGTGCCCTGATGATCGGTGCCGATCCCCGCTCTGACAACTGCCGGTTCTCGGCAGTACTTTCCTCACGATCTGACAGTGTGAGGAAAGTGCAGCCGAGAACTGGCACTTGCATTTCCCTGTGATCAGCGTGTCATTGGACACCGCTGATCACGTGGTAAAAGGCCGCTGTGATTGGCCTTTTACCACATCACGTGATCAGCTGTGGCCGTAGGACACAGCGATCACGGAGATCGCCGGGTGCGCGCCCCCTGGGGCACGCAGGAGAGCGCGTTCTGGGAGGACGTCATATGACGTCCACCCAGAACTGGCCGGCCGCGGTGAAGCCGTCATTCGGCTATGCGCGGTCGGCAAGAGGTTAACTGCTGCTATGGGCCTTAACAAAATGGCAGCTGCCAGCAAAAAGCAATGGGAACAATGCTGGAGCCAATTTACAGCACACACTAATTTTGTTTGCATAATATGGAATGCATGGTCCTGGCTGAAGAACATATAAAACACCTATCATAAGTTCTGCTTTTATTGATGGGTGGAGTGTAATACTGTTTAGTTGCTCTTCAAAAATAAAAAGTGTTCTTGTTTTAGGGACTAGGTTATGCTGCTACCTGTAGAAGGACATTGGTAAACATGATCTATAACAAGCCAAGGATAACACCTTGAACAACTGGCATGTCTCACTGCCTTTTTTTTCTTTTTTCCCCCCCCTTTCCCAGGAGCATGGATGTGTGTCCCCCCCCCCCCCCCCAAAAAGAGGTCTACCCATGGTTTCTTTTCCCCTCTTCAATAAAGATTCTGCTAGCCATAGCTGGTATGATGGAAGGTAGCCAGAGCAGTGGGTCATCTTGACTTTGGAATGTTATGACTGGACCTTGCTTGCCAACCCTGGAAGTGACATTTGAGCACTGGCCTTGTGGAGATTGACTTCATCCTCACCCCCCAATCAGCTAGGAAGAGGGGGGGGGACACCTTTTTATTGCTTGATCTATGTACTAGGCTGCATTTAGAACAATTTCTTTTTTTTTTTTCCTGGTCATGGTGACTTTTTAATAGTAATTTCAGTTTTAAGGTACCCACTCATTGTATGTGGGATTGGGGGGAGTTGAAAATGCAGTTGAACTGTGTTTTACCACCCTGCAAACTGCTCCCTCTTTAGCTGCAGAGGCTTGTACATGTGCTACAGCCACAACGGGAATTGGTACCCCCCACCATTGTTTGGCCCCTCTGCTGAATGGGGTCATGCTGCATCTATGTGCATCACATGCAGTTGGGGCATGGTAGTGCTATGTTTTTAGAGAGTTAAGAGGTGCTGAAGAGGTGATGCATTGCTTCCTCATGACCCACACAATACCTTTTGAAAAGTCTAAGCATGTATAGCATTTCCGAGGAGCTGTTATTGCCACTATTTTGAAGGAGCACTACAAAAGTAGTCCCACTATAGAAAAAAAACAAAAACATGATTGTGGGTCAGGTTTAACAGTAGTGTACACATACTTGCACAGCCTTAACAAAAAAAAAATAGCTTATCTACTGTGCCTGCGCTGTGGGGTGAACTGTTTACATTGTAAGGAGTGATGGATCAGGTCAGGAACAAGACTCCCCATCCACTGCTCTGCATATTACAGTTCTTTGGTGTCCACACAGATGTTTGGAATGCCACTGGTCTCAGCCTGTTAAACAGGGCTGAGACCCGCAGATCACCAAAATATACTTGGGCACAATGAGATCTTTGTCATACACATATAGGGACACAGACCAGAAATCACTGTGTACTTCTTTATTCAAATGTTCCCAATAAAAACAAGTATGTATGCACTTACATTTAGGTGCCTTGTATTGGCACCAAATTAAACCAGCCAGCTGAATGCATGTCCAGAGGACTGCGGTACCTCCCAGGAGCTAGTGTGTGTTCCACAATACGGAATACATCAGACTAGAAATACCGCCCCTGCGTGTTTTGGCAGTGTGCCAAACGTCATCAGGAAGTGCACACTGTCATAATACGTAGGGGTGGGACTTCTGGTCTGTCGGCACTTATCATGGAAGGTACGCTGACTACCGGAAGGTCAGAGCAGTGGTGTCCCCTAGACATACATTCGGCTGGCTTGTTTAATTTGCTGTCAAACATTCAGAACTCATGAAAACGTGCATCAGAAGTGCAAACAAAAAAAGGAAAATCAGACGTAAAGGTGTGAGCCTGGACTAAAGGTTTATTGCAGTCTAATGCTTTTGGTAGCTAAATGGTTCATATGTATAAGAATTTCTACATCACCTCATTAAGAGGAAAAGTTTGAGTTGAACCCTCAAAATAATTTTGAGATCTTGGGGAAAATCAATTAATCAGAAGAATCCCCCCCCCCCCCCCCCCAGTGGTGGTCAGAATGCCTTCCTTACAAATAACTGAAAGAATATTGGCATCATACAGCTAGTTCTGCCAAATGGCTTTGGGCGCACAATCACGAAATGTGAGGTCAAGGAACCCTGCGTGACCTCTGGAGGAACCCTGATTGAGAAAGGCTGGTTTAGGGATTTGGTTTACCCACTTGTCGCCTGAAGATGTACCTCTACATCGTTGGGTTTGAGGTTTATACCAGGGTCATGGCTGCAGCTGCAATCAGGAGTCAGAACCATGAGACATATCACATAAAGCCTTAGCAGACATACTCTGCAAGTTCAGGGGCGATGGATTAAAATTGAAGTTTAGTGGAATTATTATTTTTTTTTTCTATGGAACGACAAAAGTGAATGACATAAGGGAATGCCCGTATAAAATACAATGGAAACAAAATAGGAATGTACACTATATTGCCAAAAGTATTGGATTCAGGTGTTCCAATCACCTCTATGGTCACAGGTGTAAAAAAAATCAAGTACCTAGGCATGCAGACTGCTTCTACAAAAATTTGTGAAAGAATGGGTCGCTCTCAGGAACTCACTGAATTCAAGCATGATACCGTGATAGGTTGCCACCCGTGCAATAAGTCCATCTAAAATTTCCTTGCTACGAAATATTCCATGGTCAACTGTTAGTGGTATTCTAGCAAAGTGGAAGTAACTCAGCCACAAAGTGGTAGGGACATGTAAAATGAAAGAGCGGGGTCAGCACATGCTGAAGCACAAAGTGCGCAGAAGTCTCCAACTGTCTGCAGAGTCAATAGCTAAATACCTCCAAACTTTGTGTGGCCTTTAGATTAGCACAATAATAGTGCGTAGAAAACTTCATGGAATGGGTTTCCATGGCCGAGCAGCTGCATCCAAGCCTTACATCACCAAGTGCAATGCAAAGCTTCCGATGCAGTGGTGTAAAGCACACCGCCACTGGACTCCAGAGCAGTGGAGACTGTTCTCTGGAGTGACGAATCGCACTTCTCTGGCAATTCGAAGGACATGGTCTGGGTTTGGTGGTTGCCAGGAGGACAGTACTTGCCTGACTGCATTGTACCAAGTGTAAACTTTGGTGGAGGAGGTATTATGGTGTGGGGTTGGTTTTCAGGGGTTGGGCTTGGCCTCTTAGTTCCAGTGAAGGGAACTCTTAAGGAGTCAGCATACCAAGACAATTTAATGCTCCCAACTTTGTGGGAACAGTTTGTGGATGGCCTCTTCCTGTTCCAACATGACTGTGCACCAGTGCACAAAGCAAGGTCCATAAAGACATGGATGAGCGAGTTTGGGGTGGAGGGACTTTACTGGCCTGCACAGAGTCCTGACCTCAACCCAATGAAACACTTTGGTATGAATTAGAGCGGAGACTGTGAGCCAGGCCTTCTCATCCCACGTCAGTGCCTGACCTCACAAAAGTGCTTCTTGAAGAATGGTCAGACATTCCCATAGTCACACTCCTAAACCTTGTGGACAGCCTTCCCAGAAGAGTTGAAGCTGTTATAGCTGCAAAGGGGGGGCCAACTCAATACTGAACCCTACGGACTAAGATTGGGATGCCATTAAAGTTCATGTGTGTGTAAAGGCAGGCGTCCCAATACTTTTGGCAATATAGTGTATTTGGAGACAAATCTGTACCATGTAGCAATTTCACCTTTCTCAGAGGTTTTCCCAAGTAGAGTAGCTGATTGCAAGATTGAAATTTTCTTGGGTTATAGCGGTTTTCTAGGGAAAGACAAAGGTAAATAACAGAATGGAATGTCGATAGGGTATAATGGTAAGTAAGATGTGACTTGACATTAGAACCATTAGACATATCATATTATTTTTACAATCTGCTATACTTTAAAGGATACATTGCTATGTTTCTCAGATTTGCCTGTAAATGAGTTTATATTTTTTTTTTCCATTATATGTTATGGGCATTCCCTTTTGTCATTCCATAAAAAACAAAGATAATCCCACTTAATCTCAATTTTAACCACCTCCCGCCCACCATATAGCACAATGACGGGAGCGAGGTGGTTGTCTCGTTCTGGGAGGACGTTATATGACATCGTTCCATTTTAACCGCGCATGCGCGGCTCCGGGAGCGTGTGGCGATCGGTGCTGTGTCCCTCGGACACAGAGGATCACCGATCAACGAGAGAGCCGAAGATGTCGGCTCGGTCATGTGATCAGCTGTGTCCAATCACAGCTGATCACATGTAAATAGGGAAATGCCGGTTATCGGCATTTCTCTCCTTACGAGCTGTCACGCTGACAGCTCGAGAGGAGAGCCGGTAATTGGCATCCCTCAGAGGGGACATGTACACTGATCATCAGGGCACTGATGGTCAGTGTGCCCTGATGATTTGTATAGCCCCAGCAGTGCCATCTACCAGTGCCCTTCAGTGCCACATCAATGCCACATATCAGTGCCTACCACTGCACATCAATGCCACATATCAGTGCCTATCTGAGCTGCCTTTCAGTGTTACCAATCAGTGCCACCTATCTATGCCAATCAGTGCCACCTATCAGTGCCAGTCAGTGCTGCCTATCAGTGCCGCCTATCAGAGCCATATATGAGTGCTGCCTTTCAGTGCCCATCAGTGATGCCTGTCAATGCCCATCAGTGCCGCCTATCAGAGCCATATATGAGTGCTGCCTTTCAGTGCCCATCAGTGATGCCTGTCAATGCCCATCAGTGCCACCTACCAGGCCTCATCGGTGCCACCTCAGTGTCCACCTATCAGTTTCCATCAGTGCCCATCACTGCAGCCTCATTAGCGCACATCAGTGAAGGAGAAAAATCACTTATTTACAAACTTTTATAACAAAAACTATTTTTTTTAAAAAAATTTTCAGTGGTTTTTGGTTTGTTTAAGAAAAAATAAAAAACCCAGAGGTGATTAAATACCACCAAAATAAAGCTCTATCTGTCTCAAAAAAATGATAAAAATTTCATATGGGTACAGTGTTGCATGACCGCGCAATTGTCATTCAAAGTGCAACAGCGCTGAAAGCTGGAAACTGGCCTGGGCAGGAGGGGGTTATAAGGTCCCTGTAGGCAAAGGGTTAAACCACTAAACTTGGAGAGTTTCTTGTGTCATTCACCTTTGTCATTCAATAGAAAACAGCTATAAAACCAAATAATTTCATTCTTACATCTGCTACTCTACTTGGGGAAAGGTTAATTTGCTACATGACACAGATTTGTCTGCAAATACATTCATATTTTGCTTTTCAATATATTCTATGGACATTCCCTTCTGTCATTCACCTCTGTCATTCCATAGAAAGTAATGATAATCCTGCTTAATCTCAATTTTAAACATCACCACTGAACGTGGAGAGTATGTCTGCTAAGGATTTGACAATTGAAAAAACGACAGTTAATTTTTGTCAGTTCAAAAATGGCAGTTATTTTTGTCAGTGGCAGAAAATGAGTTAATTTTTGATAGTGGCAAAAAAATGACAGTTAATTTTTCAGTTGTAAAAAATGACTTGAAAAATGAAGTTATTTTTTGACAGTTGAAAAACGATGGGCATTCCCTTCTGTCATCCACCTTTCTCATTCCATAGAAAGCAATGATAATCCTGCTTAATCTCAAATTTAAACATCACTACTGAACGTGGAGTGTATGGCTGCTAAGAATTTGACAGTTGAAAAATGACAGTTATTTTTTGACAATTGAAAAATGATGAGCATTCCCTTCTGTCATCCACCTTTCTCATTCCATAGAAAGTAATGATAATCCTGCTTAATCTCAATTTTAAACATCACCTATGAACATGGAGAGTATGTCTGCTAAGGAATTGACATGTGAAAAATGACAGTTATTTTTTTTATCAGTTGAAAAATGACAGTTGATTTCTGGCAGATGAAAAATGAGTTATTTTTTACAGTGGCAGAATATGACAGTTCATTTTTGACAGTGTCATTTTTTTGCCACTGTCAAAAAATTAACTGTCATATTCTGCCACTGTCAAAAATAACTGTCATTTTTTCATCTGCCAGAAATTAACAGTCATTTTTCAACTGAAAAAATAACTGTCATTTTTCACATGTCAAATCCTTAGCAGACATACTCTCCACGTTCAGTAGTGATGTTTAAAATTGAGATTAAGCAGGATTATCATTGCTTTCTATGGAAAGAGAAAAGTGAATGACAGAACAGAATGCCCATCGTTTTTCAACTGCCAAAAAATAACTCATTTTTCAAGTCATTTTTTACAACTGTGAAAAATTAACTGTCATTTTTTTGCCACAATCAAAAATTAACTGTCATTTTTCAACTGTCAAATCCTTAGCAGACATACTATTCACAATCAGTGGTGATGTTTAAAATTGAGATTAAGCGGGATTATCATTACTTTCTATGGAATGAGAAAGGTGGATGACAGAAGGGAATGGCCATCAATTTTCAACTGTCAAAATATAACTGTCATTTTTCAAGTCAAGTCTATGGGCTGTTCCTTTTGTTCCATTATTCTCTATGGACATTCTACTGCCCTGTTAAAGTCTATGGACATTCCATTCTGTCATTCCTTTTAGTATGTCCCAAAAATTGCAACACCCACCATTTTATACTCTAGAGCCTCTACTTAAAAAAATGTAGCGTTTGGAGTTCTATAAATTTCTAGCCAAAAAAAAAAATGCTGATTTCTACATGTAGGAGAGGAAAGGCAGAATTGGCCTGGGGGTCAAACAATTAATAAAGAACAGTTGGAAGCTGTGTATATGATCATTTGAATATGACTGTTCTGCATACAGCCAATCTCCACTTTCTCCGTTGAGCGGACAAATCGTATGTATCGCTCTCTTTGTAAATATACTTTAAATGGTATTCAGAATGACAGGTAGAATCTGATTGGCTGTTATGGACACCAAGCACCATTCCTTCCTCTTCCCAGAGATCGCTCAGGTAACAATACCAGCCACGTCATCCGCCCACCCTACACCCCATGACGTTGGCAAGTGGGCGGGGAAGCCTCTGTCGGGAGCCCACACACAAGGCGGTACCCTACCGCTAAAGCCCCACCCACCCGAGCTCCGACGCCGCCATTGCCATTCCTGGCAGTCCCATAGCCGTTCCGATGACGTCATCCCTTTGCCAGCACTCACCCACAGCGGGAGCAGCGGATGGCAAACAGATTCCCCCCGCCCAGCTGTCAAGCGAGATATCGCGATAACCTGACAAGAGCTGGTGGGATTTGGCCTTGAGCAAGGTTCAGCCCTTCTGGGGGGTAAGTTTGTAAACACGGAGGGTGCAGAGCGGCGGTAGAACGGGGACTGGCATGCCTGCTGCCCTCTAACATGGCGGAACGGGCACTACCGTAACCATTGTTGTCAGGCTGGAGCTGCTGAAGGACCTGCAAGGACAGCAGCCCCCCATTCCCCAGGCAGGTAGGATGGAGGGGGAAGGTGCTGCTCTCTGTCTGTCTGTCTGTCATGTCTGGTTACCAAGGCAGCAGCATCCTTCTCCGGAGCCCCCTGGACCACACACTCCACTGACATCCATAGCAACCCCTGTCTGTCTGTCTCTAGAATGTTCCCTGCCACCTCCAGCTGTCAACAATGAATGAGCTCATCCTGTACATCCTCTCTTCATTCCCCAACCTTTGTAGTACTAAAGGCTGGAAAGGAGCGAATACACGGCCAATGTTCCTGCGCATGCGTCCTGCATGAAAATATCAGATACACCGAAGGGCTGAGAGCAGCGCCAAGCCAATATCCCATTGGCCGCTAACGCACTGCGGTTATTTACTAAAGCAGCCACTGTGGAGCGTTAGTGCTTTGTGCGATGCCAGCTGGGAAACCTTGGCGTCCGATGTGTGTGTTTACACAGCTGGGTGACAGTTCCTCTGGTATAAACACCTGCCCATCCTTCTCACCGTTAGGCATCTTACTGCTGCTGATCTCCTGCAGCCTCTGTCAGCCACTTCCTGTCTACATGCGTGTTCTCCACATCATTCTGACAGTGACGATGGTGGACAATGCCTGCGCAGTGCATGTCAGAATGGCCGCCTGTAGTCGTGGAGCATGTGACAGGATGATCAGTAAGATGCCACCAGCACGCCACAACAGGGAATTAAGGACATGGCATGGATTCACCACCAACAAGTGGTGATGTTTCAGCACCACTGAAGGCTTCCTTAGACAACTGATATCACTAAGGTGCGGGGAAGGGGTCCTCAGTGACAATGAAAGGTCATCACTTGTTAATGGTGAATAAATGTCCTGTTCTTAAAGCAGAGTTCCAGTCGACCTATCAAAAAATAAAAGTCAGCAGTTCCAAAAACTGTAGCTGCTGACTTTTAAAAAACAGCCACTTACCTGTCCCTCGGTCCCGTGGTGTGTCCCCCGCAGCTCATTTCACCAGCCGTCCTGTATTCCAGGAGTCTGGCATCTTCAGTATGGGCATCCGGCTGTGATAGCTTGCGGCTTCACAGCCGGGTACCCACTGCGCATGTGCAGGTAGCGCTGCACTTTGTGAATGGTCCTGTAGTCTTCTGGGACCTGTCACGTGTCCCAAAAGGCTACAGGGAGGGAGGACACCTTCTGTTTCCGATCGCCTAGGCGATCGGACTGGAAGTGAGAGTGGGTAACTGTCAAATTCAGGTACCCGCTCCCTCCCCGCTCCCCAAAGGTGCCAATCCTTAATGGGGAGCGGGGGAGTGGTCCTTAAAGTGGAACCTCCCCTTTTGGGTGGAGCTCCGCTTTAAGATGGAACTTTATGCTTAAAATAAAAAAAAGAGCAAACAGGCAAGATTTTTAATCCAGAAGAGACAGTCTTGTCTCTTCTGCTTTAAATTTACTTTCCTGCCTGACCGCTCTTGTCCAACGAGCTGTGCATGTGCCGCTCACTGTACGAATTTGTCACTGCCAAATCTGATTGAACTCCCACGCATGCACGGGAGTGATGTCCTCCGTGCCCAGCCAATGACAGCAGCCTGGTGATCGAGACCCGGACGCCAGCAACTTGAATATGTCAGCGGCTGGGCGGGGAGTTCCAGGACATCACTTTGCTTCGCTGAAGTGAGTATAGTTTTGCTTTAGGGCTCGTTCACACCATGGTGCAGAGACGTCAGTTTTTCTGTACACTTTCTGCAATGGTCACAAAAAAAATCAATTGTTCTCTATGTGCCCTGTTGACACCGCAACAATAGTATCATCTGAATATTTTTTATTGAGCAGGAATCTGCAACATGTATATAACTCATTGAAGCTCACATGAAAACTGATGTCTCTGCAAGTGAAATCTGCGTGTCATTTTCCATCAGTTTTTCTGCATGTATGGTGTGAACGAGGCCCTAAAGGATAAGTTCACCTTTGGGAACATCTTACATGTTCCACCCATTTTTAGGATAGAACATGTTTCCATAACCGCAGCCGCCGGCCCCCTCCCTCTGACAAATAGTACGGGGAGAGAGTCTATCCCCATACTATCTGTCAAATTTGAAATCGTGGCCGTTCAGGGCTCCGCCCGCACGGCCGCGTCATTCATTCATGGGCTTCCATCAATGAATGAACTGCAAGTCCCGGCAGTTTTAGCGGCTGCAGGCTTGTAGATTTCAATGAACTACCACGGCGCTGTGGAGTGCCATGGTAGTTCATTGAAGCTTCCTATCAGAATATCTGCTTAGCCATACATCCCATACAGCAAGCAGATATTCTGACAGGTCTGCAGGAGACCTGCATGGCATCAGCGATCTATTGATCGCTGGTGCAATGCTTTCCAGGCTCCTGTAGACAAAAATAATAAATGCACCTTTTTTTAACTGCAAAAAAATGTGCATTTTATTATTTTTTTTTCTAAAAAGTGAACTTATCCTTTAAAGTGTAACTAAACCCTGTGATCCTCTCAGTCAGGATGTTCAGCTGTGACAGTTA